ACTGGAAAAACAACCAAAAGCAATTGAAGTGACACACTGTTGTTTTCACAAACTGATCAAATAAATTCTCCCAATGATAATTGCTATCAGACATTCATAAGACAGTACTTCACTTCTACCTTTATTCAATAAGCTAAGAAGGATTATTTTAACAGATTTTAATATTTTACTATGTTTCATCTGTCTCTATTATTTCCCACATTTAATTCACAAAATAGCTGTTACCTTTCTCTTCCCAATTAAATAAGTACTCTAAAACTACCTATATTACCTTAATTGTTAGGTAGCACACCAGTCATTCACTCCTTTTCAATATTACACTCTCCTGCTTTGCAGAAAAATAGTTAAGGACATCCATGCCCAAATTGCAGAAAAGAGCTTTTACCTTGCTGGATTTGCTTCTGATGACAAGCTAATGAAAACCTGAATGTTATAATAATTATACACTAACCTTGATGGATACATATAATGTTGCTTAATTTCCCAAGGTTTCATTATGGAGTTCAGAAGCACGAATTGTGGGATGCTACATGCCTCTTTACTGTTTATACCCAACATTCATTTTCATGGAAGTAAACTGTTACATTAATAAACACTAATAGTTTGTGACATTTGAAGTCTCTACACGTCTACAAATTTCTCCCTAATTTTATTGCCATCCTGTTTTTTTCTCTTTGACATCATTCTTTCCTTAACTGCCTCGGTGCCACTTCTTACACAAAACAGGTTCCCCCAATCAATGCTTTCTTTATCTATAGATGGGTTCTAAATGTAATTAGATAAGTACAAGTAAAAATTGCTTCCAATCTGTAGTAAATAAGTGCAGCTTCACACTTTGGCTCAGAAAAACCCCAAACCACAGAGAACAACTGAGGAATAATTTATCCCTGAACATCTGTCTTGTTCATAAGTCTGTCCAAAATGATGTGCAGCTGCAGCCTGTCCTGAAATAAGAAAACTTCATTGTAAAGGGGCAAGGGAGTGGACTAACAGCATAACTGTAGTGGATTAAGACCTGGAAATTGGGCCAAGAATGCCAGCAAAGTGTTCACTGACTTCTGAAAACTGTCAAATTTAACTAGATACAGGACACTGGAAAATGTGGCTGCTGTTAAACTCACAAAATATTTTCTCCTCTCATACCAAAACTTCAGACTATGGATACAAAACCCTTTCTGAAATTCTGCAAATCAGAGGACATGTTTCTAAAACACTCTTAAAGGATTTAAAATACTTGTTATTAATTTAGTAAGTAAGCTTAATTTATTAAAGAAAATTACTACTGTAATATAGATATTATATATTGTATTGTAATAATTCTATATAGAAGTGTAGCATGACTTTCCATCAGTTCCATAATTTTCTGCATTTTTATAATGAGCTATCTCCATTTGTAAATACAAAGGCAAAATGAGCAACAGACAGTATGTTTGTAGTGTATTGCAACACTCTGGAATCATTAAAAAAGAAAAAAAAACAGATGGAAGTGGCTTTAAAAGTATTAATATCACATTTAAGAGGACAACTACAACAATATTCAAATATCAGTTTGCCAAAAACTGTGGTGGCAGAATGAAACTTAGTCAGCCCTATCTTCTTAATGCACATTTCAGCCACATTTAACAATCTGCCTTGAACTGCAGGGAATTAAGCAATCTACAAAGATCAGCAGCAGAATGTTCTGTCTCCCAAGTCATTGCATCAAGAAAAAATACTTCAGTGGGAAGATTTCCCAAAGCTCTTTCAAAAGCTTTATCAATTCCCACAAGTAGCCCATAAAGTTGTCTTCTGCCCATACTGAAACTCATGACCTGAATTTCCAGGTCATCTTTATCAGAGAGCAACAGTGAAACCAATTTCACTGACAGTGTTGTCCAAGATCTATAGACCAAGACAATTACTCAGAATAAAACTTCTATTGAAAGTCCTAATTTAAAAACATTTTCAACATTTTCTGTTTTAACAAGTTATGATTCATTTTCAGTTACTTTTTTTTCCATATGCAATTAAACTACTTCCAAGAGAAAAATGTGATCATGGAGGAATTTATATTAAAATTGGGAGTTAAAATAATCTAGCTGTGCACAGTGTATACACTCCAATAAAATACATTGGTATTCACAACAACCTAATAAATTAGTATTTTGAAAATATAATTCTAACTGTTCAGGATAGTTCAGAGGTATTAAAATCTCTTTTTTTCCTCCACTTTATTTATACTCTTAAATGTATGCTACATTATTTTCTGTACATTATTCTGAGACTGTCAGAAATCATATCTCAGCATTAAATTATATGGCATACATTCTTACTTGTAATAAGTTAGAAAAAACAGCCAACTGTGCTATAAATTGAAGTACTTGATATCAGAAACAATCTGCATGTTGCAATTCAAAGCCTGTTAGATGAAGCATCCACACTTTATAAGCAACTACACACATGGGTTAAATTACAGCACTAACATACACTTAGTGCTGTAGGTTTCTGAAGAGAGCTCTACAGGTGCAATTCATGTGTACAAAGGAGGTGAAATGAGCACTGGCTGAGACAACAGCTGCTGGAGAAAATAAGTAAATCCCCACAGAAGGAGCAAGAGAGCCTGAGAACTACAAGACAAAAGATTAGGGAAAGGGGATCCACAGAGAAAAGCATTACAGGGTCATCAAATATGGCAGAAATTAGTAAGGAAAGAAAACGTGTCTAAGAGGAAGACCTGGTAATGGAAAATACTGCAATGAGGAAGGGGGAAAGAGATTCTAGAAAATACTCAAGAATTAGAGGGTTTGGGGAGAAAGGGAAAAGTAAGCAAGCAAGCAACCATGCAAACCACAAGAAAGCAAAATAAAGCACAAGAAAAGTACAAAGAACTTTAGAAAGCTCAGAGGGCATGCACTTGTACAACAAGTAAAGAAAGAATGTTTGTTTCTATCTGGTGACATCTAAGGTCATTAAGAGCTTCAGTTACATAGCTTTAAATGTATCCCTGTTTACTGTGAATACAGGTGGATGGCAATCCCAGAAGTTCTTGTCTGCTGCAACAGAAATGTTTCTGTCCTACAGCACAATCAATAAAAATCAATTGCCTGATAATTGCTTTGCATCAAATTAAATTATGGAGAGCTACATAGCTCAGAGGGTTGGAAATGAGATGTGGAGCCTTTCACCTCTGGGTCACTGCTACAAACACAATGCAAGTCAATAATGACTAAGAGTTGTTACTTTTGTGTTAGTGAAACACCTGATTTTAAGCCCTACTAAACCACACCTTTGCTACTTTGTAACCTTAGAACTTTGTGTTGCCAATCCCTGAACAAAGCTGGGTGAAGTTCCCATGTCACCTTTGTGCTGCCTGTGATTATAATCGACATCATTCCTTATCCTTTCAATGGATTACAACTCAAATCCAAAGAGTCCAGTTACTTTCAAACCAAGTTTGAAAAATTGAACATTACAAGTTAAATTTAAAATACTTATCAACACTTCAAAATCATGCATAGTATTTCTTCTTTTAGCCAGGATCATAAATACTCAAAAATACTTTTTGAGCATTTTTATTCTCACAAAAAAAACCCCAAACCCAAAGAAGAAACCACCCTCCCCCCCGCCAACACACACTAAAAAAAACCCCAAAAACCCCAAAAAACAAAACAAGAAGACGAACCAAAATGTTACTAAGTGTTACATCCCTCTTGAGGCATTAAAGCAAGAAGAAGATAATGCAACTTTCTGAAAATATTAGCTGGTGTTACATAAAAAAACAGCTGGCTTTATTCTGAAAGTAAAGTCTGGACAGTAACGGTGATACTGCTAACACCTAAACCTGCAAACTAAGGCAACTTTGAAGCCACTTATCTGGTAGTGGTACTCTTAATAAAATGCATCCCGTTTTCCAAAATCTATGGGATTTTTTTTCAACTTCATACAGGAAATTATTACTATTATTTACTTGTGCATTTTAGACTCCAGATTCAACTTCAGTTCTAATGACTCTGTTCTTATCCGCTCTGTGATATTCATGGCTATTTCTAGCATAATTAGCAGATTGATGAGGACAGCTACATGCACATAAATTTGCTGCAGGAATTAGAAGAGTATGACCGAATTAGCATGTTCAGGAGTTCCACAAAGAAAATGACTTCTTTTTCCCTGAAATCTTATTTTTACAATTAGTTGTTCTAAGAATTGCACAGCAATTAAATACCTTTACAAGGGCCATGGTAATTGGTGCTGGAAGGCGGGGGGGGAAGAAGCTTCCATTTGCCAAAAAAAAAAAAAAAAATTAGAAAACAAAATTATTTGTTTCTACTTCTCTTTTTCTTCCTATATCCTGGCACTAAAGAACGCGCACCACATCCTCTGGACACGTCAGGCACTTGGTTAAACAGTAATCCAAAGATACACACCAATATTTGTAAGGTCCTTCAGTTAGTATTTACTCAAGTATACCAAATATCTGTTTTCTAGAAAGCAAAAGAGCATGCTTAGTATTTTCAGGGAGGCAGACAAGTTTTAAATAAAGGACCTCATTCTGTAGCTTCATGCTACAAACATTCTGGTTTATAGCCCATATATATTTATGGAATTGCTGCTCTCCCCACACTGCAGCAGCAGATTGTCTTTTGGGTAGGACATAGGACAAGAGGAATTGAGCAAATTGAAATGAAAAAAAAAAAGGAAAAACTGTCAACTTTTTCTCAAAACCACTATCAGAGTCTCAGTGGAGTTTGTAATGCAGCACGCTTGTAAACCCTTTAAAACAGAGTGCAGACCACCACAGGGGTAAGAAGTAAGAAGCAGCAATATTGCAAGCACCTTCCATCACAAATCATGCCATAAGGAGTGTCACCTTTTCTTCAAGAAGGTACAGCCCTCACAGCTTAAAAACAACTGTGCAAAACTCTGCTAGCACCACACTGATACACTGATATTTATTTTACTTCAGTTAGAGCAAACATAACAGTACTTTTTTTATTCAATGGTGTAGTCATCGGAGCACTCACCTGACTGCTGATTTCCAGGCCATGGTCACCCTGAAGCCACAATTTCTTTCCAGGAAAAAACTCCAAGCTACAAAGAGGACCAGGAAAAGGGTTCTTCCACTCACCAGTCACTCTCATCACAGTGACTGAGTCTCTGTGTGCACAGGGTTCAGAGCCTACAATTTACACCAGCCTTGGCATTTAAAAGAAGCCATTTCTAACACCTCATGAATCTGGTAAAGCTACAAACCATCCCAGCTTCAGCTGTAGGATGGCCAGCTTCCCCGTCCTAGCTTGGGATACGTTTATGCAAGCAGAGAACTGCAGTTGCAAAGAGTATCTGTGGCTCTCAGTTTGTGCTCTCTCACCACCCACACAGCCTGTGTGAAAGGTTCCTGTCACACATGTGTTTTGAATTGAAACTGATGCTAAGTGAATCAGCTGTGTTCAGGTCCTGACCAAGAAGGCCTGATTAATTATTCCAGGAACTTAAGAAGAGGTAACATACCTTCAAAAATTTATCTAATTTATTATCTACCTACTCTATGTAGAATTTCCTATGGATAGTAAGGGGCTGTACATCCTGGAAAATACAATTACTGCTGAGTATTTACCATTCTTAAGAGTTCATAATTGCCACAAAAACCAATGCTATTAGTCTATAACGCAGATTCATCATAGATAATCTTCAAATTAATGCAGGTAATAAATATTGCTTTATGAATCATGATCTGAAAACTTAAATGAAAGATGTTGCAACTTATCCTGATACAAAAAATATTAGTCTAATTTCTCCCTATACTTGAAAGCTTAATCGTTTACACTGGTTTACTACACAGTTTTTCCTCTAGCAGAGTGACTACTAAATAATTTTGCAGCAGCCTTTGAAACAATGTGTCATGATTTTTAAACATACTTTTTTTGGCATAAACCAGTTTGATTTCTGTTTATTTATAATGAACATCTAATTGTGTGTTATTTTTCTAGTGCAACTCTTAAAAAGCTGTTTCTATTCAGAGGTACACTGAAAAAAACAAAAAACTTATACATAAAAAGTAATGTGCCACCATAATTTGAAAATATTCACCTCATTCACATTCGCCTGCCTCCACTAAAAGATTTATAACACATCTAAACCAGAAATTGATGAATTCATCAGCATCTGTGACATCTTGATCATAATCAATAATATAATTTTACCCCTTAAATGGGTTTTCAATTAAAGTACTTTTTTTTCAAAGTAATTTTATTTTTGTCATAAAAATAGTTTCTCTACAGACTAACAGCATTAACAACTTTCAAACCAGGTGCTGTGTTGTAAAGGACAATAACCTGCACAGCCAAACAATGATAATACTGTACTTAATGAAAGACATATAACATTCATTGTGCTGTTTCACAGGTTAAATTTTACAAAGTAAAACATTTCTTAAATAAGTACAAGCATAAAGATCAAGGGCCATTACACAAGTGTCAAAGTTCATTATTCAACAATGAAGATTCTAAGGACAGCAAGAGAACATCAGTGTTAGGAATTCAGGCTGGCCTGGCTCCCACAAATTCATTTTTGAACTTTCTCTTAGCTTTCAAGAAAACACAGGACAAGACAGCCCAGGAGCTTCCACAGAAAGTTAGCTGTAAAAGATTTCTTGGATGGAAGAGTATACCAGGAGCAGCAGAAATGGAGCAGATCATCACCAGTCTCTCATCAGATGATATTAACTGACTCTATCAGGACTTCCTTTAAGTTTTATTTCTCTGGAAGCTGGTGCTTACTAGGCTAGGACTTACTGTAGGGAGCTAAAGTTGAGAATGCTTTAAAGGAAAACTTATTTATACTGCTATACAGCAAGACCTTTTAGATATAAGAAATAGAAACAAAATTTAATAGTGTGGAGTAAGACGAATGAGCAAATATATATGAAATCATGCTAAACCAGAGGGGTTTGTGGTCCATTGAACAAATACTCCTGCTGTAGAAAGTGAATTAAATCAAGTGGTGTGATCTGATTATCTTCAAGGATTATTTGTCATGGGCAAACTACTGGTTCAGGTAGGAACAGACTGTTACCCTTCAACTAAGTGGCAGTTATTGATCTTTGCTGGCACAGCCTCATTGTTACATGGCTTCACTGTTATGGAGAGGCTGCTGGCTTAATGTCTGTCAGTCTGGGAAATACAAGTAGCCCTTCCTTAGGAAAGATAAAGGGAGGTAATTCCAGGGTCTTTCATCTTTTACAGGGCTCTACTCCTCACAAGCCAGAAAGTGTATTTTCTTTGTCTATTAACTTTGGCAATTAACTAAATCTTGAACTTCACACAGTTTTGATGGATGGATAATATGTATACCTAGAAATAGGAGAAAATTTCTAGCAGTGCTGTTAGCAATGGAAATACAACTTCACTCAGACACTTTCCTTACTCTGAGGGCTCATCCTCTACCAGGACAGAGCCCTCAGAGTAAGGAAAGGAGAGGGCACTTAGGGGACATTATGGGGAATTCTTTGCAAGTCTTTGAGTTTTGGTGTCACCTCTGAGAACTTTCTTAATTGAATGGAAAAACAATTGTATAGAACTTGAACAGAAACAAAAAAGGGTTCTGTAACTTTAAGAACAGACAAAAGCCTTGCACTCTCGTTCAGGGGACTGCTTTACATAAATCTTCAGGAAGTCTCTGACAGGCAGTATCCTGGACAGAAATCAGATAGCTATTTCTCAAGTATCCAGCTTGTTTTGAGGCAAATCTCAAGACAAATACACCAAGAGCAATAAATCAGAGAACTATACCAGATGCAAGCAAAAATGAGGCTATAGAAGCTGAGGAACAAGCACATGATCCCACTGCATTTTCCACTGCTTTTGTCAAAAAATGTTTGCTAGTTTCACAGTTCTATGCATTATTTGAAAACTGAAAGTTACAATTGGTAGACGTCTTGGAAATTTCACTCCATTTGGCTTTTGAATGGGAGGGAGCTTAGATAAATAAGCTTCTCTTTATTTATATTTGGAAGCTGGTCCTGAAAAGCTTCTTCACACAAGAAATTCCTCTTCCCATGGTAAACAGCCAAATAGGTATGAATGCAGTCATAAATTATCATTGCAGAACAGCAAACACACAAATATTGATTAATTAATGTAGAGTGAAATCTTGTTTTATGCCCCCTTTAGTGGAGCAGGTTAATTCCTGGGATCCACCATCCTGAATGCCCTCCATCACTACCTTACACATCCACCTAGGCTCTTTGGTACTGTGCATTTAAGGCCCAGCTGGGAGATCCAAACGTACGATGACACCCGAGTGAGTTTGTGAGGCTCAGTGGATGTGGCAGGGGAGTCAGGCTCCTCGGAGAGGAGTGACAGCAAATGCTCCCCAGGGGAGCTACAAATTGTGTGTCATCGTCATCCCGGACTGCCACCCCGAGAACAGCTCTGGATTCAAGGAAAAGAGCTGACAGGCAGCAGCCATACTTTCAGCTGTTTCCTTCAGATCTCTCCCAGCAGGTGTCACTACGATGTAGCATTGCTATAAAATCTTCAAGTAACAAACATTAAAGTAGCGGGTTCCTTTTTCCCCCAACTGGCAAAGTACCTCTGTAGACTAATTATGTAAAACGTGAATAGTCGGCAACAATGAGCTTTGTGATGAGAGGGAGGGGAAAACTGTTAGCTGTGTATCATTTCCACTTCCATACAGCTGATTTTCTTCTTATAAATTGTTATACCTCTGAAAGAGATGTCTTTAATGAAGTGGTTAATTTAATGCAACGCTCAGCATTCTCTTTTTAACAGCAATGTACACAGATGGCTGTATTCCAGACTCCATTCATCTATTTCAAATTGTTATAAAATGGCTGCTGAATTCTATTCTTTGGAGAGATAAAATATATTTGTAATAAACAACGAAATTTTCTAGCAGCTGGTTCTGAAAATTAAGAAAAAAACAAACCAACACAATGGGGGGGAAAAGGATTTCCAAAGCAGTCTCCATGCAGACTCTGACTGTCCTACCACCCAGCGATTCTGCAGGCATTCAGACACCTCACTGTAATGTCTCAAAAATCAATAGCAATTTATTCTCTCTTTGGACCCCAAGCAACAAAAGTAAATAATACTGTCACCTGCGGTCTGCCTTCAGAACATGGTCACAAAACAGTCCTGCTACTATACCACAACCCTCCAGGGCTCTTTATCTATGCTGGCTTTGCAGATTGTATTGGTTTTCACAGGGGAGAAACACACAGTACAGCAACAAAAAGGGGTCAAGTTCCTGTACTCCGACCACCCAGGCTGCTGAGCTGAAATTAAGAACAAGGTTTGGCACCTGTCTTACTTCAGTTTCAACCACATCAATTTTATTAAACAGGAAAAAGAAAATAAAAAATAAAAGAAACTGCTAACTGAAAAAGGAATATTAGAATGACGTTTTCTCATGCAGTAAAAGGGAAATCCTAGAGGAGAAAGTTGAAACGTTTGCATCATTCCTAAATTAATTTCTTAATAATTGGAGGCTTTGAAATTCACATTCCTTACAATGCCACTGAACATATGTCAGAATATTCAAAGTGATCCAGAATATTGACAGAGTTTTCAAAAATCATCATAATTTGTAACCAATATTAAGGAATCAATTGTCATCTCATTATAAGACAACCAGTTTCTTTTAACTGCTCACATCATCGTCACAGGGACCTTACAAAATTTCAAACACATGATATGAAGATATGCTCACTTAACTTCTAATGATCCTGTGTACGTATGTACAATGGACTCTTGTCTTTCCAAGGAGCATTATTTAAATATGCTTGTATTTTTGCATATTAAATTATCTTTGTTGCTGCATGAGTGTAAAGCCTATAGGACATAGAAATTCTCTCCATCACCACTTATTCTGTTGCTTCTTAGAAATACTGATTGTTGTGGGTTCATATATAATAAGTTCAGGATGCATCACTAGCCTATATAGGCATTACATCCTGATTTAAAGCAGTCCACCCTTTCTTTTGTGGCTGTTTATATCAATGAGTACAAAAACAGGGCATGGGCTGAATGCAAAGAAGGAAGTGGAGCTTAACAGAAAAAAATTGACCTTCTATTCCAGTTTTCAATATGGACAGTAATTCTGTGAAGTAATTTCCCACTATAAAATGATAAAATGCCAAATCTTAAAAGCACAATACAAATACGTGAATTTAAGGGGTCTTGTGATAACTCTCGTTACAAGCCAGGGCAGAATTATAATTTCTTTCAATAGGGGAAAATTAGTAAAGCAAATGGAAAATTCTAAAATATTTTAGGTTAATATCTTAGGAGAAAGAAAAATCTGCATGGATTTTACATGT